TATAAGGTTTGAATTATGTTCTGATTGTCTTACTCCATTTCGTTAGTCGTCCAAGTCATATTCTTGTTGGCTTGTAATTGTCACTCCTTATAATCTTCCACCAGAAATGTATATGACAAAACCTTACATGTTTTTGACATGTATTATATCTGGACCAAAAAATCTCAAGAGTTTAATTGATGTTTATTTGCAGCCTTTGATTGATGAATTGAAGTTTTTGTGGCACGTAGGTGTTTTGACATATGATATTTGTACAAAAAAAATTTTATGTTGCGTGCAACTATAATTTGGACAATCAATGACTTTCCTGTATATGGAATGTTGTCTAAATGGATAATTGCTAGTAAATTGGCTTGCCCTTATTGTATGGAGAAAACAAAGGCTTTTACTCTAAAGCATGGTGGTAAGAATTCATGGTTTGATTATCATCGTCAATTTTTGCCGTGTGATCATGTATTTAGGAGGAATAAAAGAGATTTTACAAAGAATAGGGTTAAAACTGATGAGCCGCCATCTAGATTATTTGGTGAATAATTGTGGGATAAAGTTTGCTCTCTTCCTAAAGTGGTTGAGCATAGTCGATCTAGATTACCGGGATACGGGGTATACCATAATTGGATAAAGCCGAGTATATTTTGTAGTTTTTTTTTTTTTTTTTTACATTTGAATGGCGTAAGTCAAGAAGATGCTTAGTCACAGATTCAAAATGAATTTCCTACCTGGTTTAAGGCTTACGTAAGTATATCATTTATACGTGAAGTTATGATATATTATTTTATGTAGTTATCTTTCTCAATATATTATAAATAGGTACGCGATTCTGCCAATGGTGTCACAAATCCATACTTACGTGATTTAGCATTGGGGCCAAATTTAAGTGTGAGATCGTACCACAAGTCTTTTGTGAATGGTTATAAGTTCTACACAGATGAAGACTCCCGATGAACGAAAACTGTTAATAGTGGTGTATGTGTAAAAGGTATTAACAGTGTGGAGAAATTGAATATTATGGTGTCCTTCGGGAAGTTATAGAATTGGAATATCCACACGAACCTATAAAAAGGGTGGTTTTGTTTTTGTGTAAATGGTTTGATCCAAGAAGATCTCGTGGTACAAGAGTTCATCCTCTTTATAACATTGTTGAGGTTAATTGCAGTAGGGAATATAATCAATATGATCCATTCATCATTGCTTAAAATGCTACATAAGTTTATTATATTCCTTATCCAGCCATTCGAAGGGACAAGGCTCATTGGTGGGTGGTTATGAAAACAAAACCAACCAGGCGAATAGAAATTGAGAATGTCAGTGCTGAAGAAGTTTATCAAGAAGAGTCTATGTCTCATGTAATGTCTGTAATTGATGTTGATCATTAGATGGATTGCGTCATGAAGCAGGATTATACGATGAGATTAATATAAGATAGTTGGATCAAGAACGACTGACAAAAGATGATCAACACGAAAATGAAGATGAGGAGGAAGAATTTATTGAATACGATGACGACACTGAACCATCAGAAGATTATGAGGAAGAAGAGGAGGAGGATGAAGAGGTGGTAAATGAGGATGATCAAAATTGTTCTAATTGAATTGTTGTATTTTTGTTTTGTATGTTTTCCGACAATATATTTTCTACTATATTTTTGAGTTAATAATATGTTTTTTTATTGTATAATAATTTGTTTCTTTTCTTAATTTTGGAACTATAGAGGTTATTAAAAAATAAATTAAAAATTATATAATAATTTAAAATAAGTTAAGTAATACTTCATTCTATCTTATGTAATTTTAAGAAAAAAATTATTATATATATATATATCTATCAATGTAGATGGATTTCGAGCGTAGACCCAATAAGGGTAAGGGGATAGATATTGGCCGCTCGAAGAAGCGGCGTGATCGTCCTGTACATGACCTATCAGGCCCCTTGCCGCCAGTTATTATTACGGAGCCCCACGATCCTACCTGTGCCTATTATGATTACGGGGCTCAACATTCTCAGTATGTGTCGCGGCCTCCTCAGTTCATGCCTACTCCTGGATACGTGCTGATTCCATCAACTACTGGAGGCCCTGCTTCATCAGTGTCTACCTAAGTGCGGCTGCCTCTATTGATAGCGCTGCTCCTTTGGTTCTCGTACTAGATTCTTCTTCGTCCGACCCTGCTCGAGTCGGATCATCTGGCACATGTTGTAGCACTTCTGGGAAGACGCAGATCAGGCCCGTTGGTGACGTCAGGTAAGTATTATTCAAAAAATTTTAATAAATATTTCTTAATATATCAAATATCAGTATTAATTTTATAATTTTTTGCTGTTGTAGATTTCATCCTTCGACGGCTGCTGCTTATGCCATCACAACGGTCATTCAGGCAAAGTTCACGTTGTGTTATCCCACATGGAGGACAGTTCCTGTGATTTGTGGTTTGATGAGTTTCGAGTTCATATTTCAATGCAGTCATGGTTAAATATTTTTTTATATGTTATATTAATTGATATTTTATTAACAGTTTATTTTTGTCTTCATGCAAAAATATTGTACATGGGATCCACGAGACGAGCCAGTCATTAGACGGATATTTAGTACTCGTAGATCTCATAGGCTTTCTGATATATTTAGAGAAGCCCGGATTAGAGGCAGGCCAGACTGGATCCCGCCTTCTGTGTGGGAGGAGCTTCAGGCTTATTAGAGAGGAGAGAGGTTTACGAGCGTAAGCTCCCAAAATAAGGAGAATCGCCATTCGGAAAAATGGACAGTTCTCTCCACACAAGAGGCTCTAGTCCACCCCACGAGCATGCTATGAGGATGGTAAGTCTTGTACATAAGTTTTATTATTATCTCATAGTTACAAATAATAACAAAATTTTTATTATGTATTATTGCAAGAAAAAGAGACTGGGAGGACTCCTCATTTTTTTGAGGTCTTTAAGCATATGCATGTTAAGAAGAAAGATGGTGAGGAGGTGTGGGTGGACCAGCGATCGGAGAAGACTTTGTAAGTAAATTTTATTTAATATCTTTATTAAATTTTATGTAAGCATACTTATTATTTATTAAATTTTTATAATTAACATTTTTTATTATTAAACTTATTTTATGATATACTTTGTTTATGTAGGCTGACTTCCAGGCTGCCCGATCCTCCCAGTCGACACCCGAGGAGACGTTTACCCTAAAGTCTCAGCGGATAATAGACACTCAGCTGTGGGAGAATGCACTAGGGAAGAGCCTTCGGCCGTGTATACGGTCTTAGACAGCAGAGTTCTTCTCCGTCAGTCCACTATCCTCCATCCGACAGTGCGGATCAGTCGGTGAGATCGGAGGTGCAAACTCTCCGTCAGGAAAATCAGGAGTTGTGGCAGAAAGTGGGGAGCATGGAGCTTACCCTTCATCACCTGATTAAGGTAGTTGAAGGGATGAGGAACACACCACTTGATCAGCCATGCCCTTCGGCGCCTGCTCACGATTCTGACTCATCTGCATCTCAGTCAGGCGATGTTGGCTGTCGGGAGTGATTTTTCTTTTTTTGAGATTTTGTTTCATGTACATGTTTAGTGACACTCTATTTTATATTTGTAATAAGATATTTTTAATATTATTTATACACATGTTATTTCAGTTTTATGTAAATGTCTTAAATAAATTATCATAAAATATATATTTCAAAAATTTTTAAAATTAATATTCAAAATTAAAAAATAATAAGAATTTATTAATTAATACTAAAAATAATTAAATAATTAATAATACTAATAACAATTTAATATTTAATAATAAACCAATTTAATATTTAATAATTAAAAAAATAATTCTGACGCAATTTTCCAACGCAACATTTTGCGTCGGAAAATTTCCAACGCAATTTTTTCATCGAAAATTTCTTTTGGCAAACTCCGACAAAATTTATGACCTAATTTTTGTTGGAAATTTCTGACGCAAAATTTTTTACATCGGTAAATTTTTTCGACAGCAATATTTCCGACAGAAGTTTTTGCGTTGGTAATATTATTTCCGACACAAATTTCTATCTTACCGACGTATTTTTTATATCAGTAATTCACCTTTTCCTTGTAGTTGTTGCTTTAAGGCCCTGATCCTAAATAAACCCAAATTGGGTCATTACAGCCGATCACGGATTAATTCCGCGTCTTGACAAAATATGATGCTACAAGTCATGTTTGAGTATTGGACACGATATTATTTATACTTTTTATGAATTTGACATCCACGGTTGTTATTTTTTTAATTCTTTAATCTAACAATCAATTTGGTTTTCACGCATTGCAATTTGTTTGCTAGTTTTATAAATAAATGGCCCTGCCACATTCTCATCACAACAGACATTTGAAAAAGCTTCTTCTTTCTAAAATAAAAAAGGCCGTGTATTGAAAAAAAAAAAGTAAAAGAGAGAAGGCCTTGCTGATTTTTTTCCTTGAAGATTTTTTCTTGAAAAAGGTCATATATCCTTATTTGAAACAAAATATTCTTCAACCTCAAAACCATATCCCTTCAAGAAACAAAATATAGAGAGAGAGAGAAAAATAATCAGTATTTTATTTTATTATTTAAATTTTTCTCTACTATGGAATAAACAGTTTGAATTTAGATTTCAATTATCTCCTTAAATAATTTTTGCTAAATTCAAATAGTTGGTAATTTTTTATTTAGTCAGGTTACACAAATAATCTAAATTAATTTTCTAAAATTTTAATCTATATTAATTTAATAAATAAGATTAAAAATATTTTATAATATTTATTATCAAATACATCATATTAATTTGAAATTTTAAAATTGAATAATTAAATATTTTAATAATAATATTTAAAAATATTTGATATTTAAAATTAGAAAGTTAGAGATATTTACAAAATATAAATAATATATTATAAAATTTAAAAGAATAAATAGATAAAAAAATTAAGGAATAAAATAATTTTGCCCATATTGTTAGTTTAGTTGCTTATGGTACCAATCAACGTCATAGTCTTCTTTACAGGGTGGAGACCATTATGCGGGAGAGCGGCCTTCTCACGAACGATAGTCAAGGTCAACACACTTACGACACCGATCAACGCGTTTTCAGGACGACTGCACACAATTTTTCTTTTCTTCTCTCTTTTTTGCTATCCCTTTTCTGCTATAAATTCCTCTGTTTCCCCATCTTGCTTCAACTCACTCACCCATCTTCGTACATTCTTCTCTTCCACGATGGCCTTCCTCAGTCTCGCCTTCATCGTAGCTGGAATCCTCGCCGGAGTCCTGCCAGAGCTGGCACTGGGACAGAGCTGCGCGTGTGGTCCTGGCGAGTGCTGCAGCCAGTACGGGTACTGCGGCACCACCAGCGATTACTGCGGAACTGGTTGCCAAAATGGGTCTTGTACCGGCTCCAACGGCGTCTCGGTCGCGGGAATCGTCACCGACGCCTTCTTCAACGGGATTGCCGACCAAGTTGGGCCCACCTGCCCGGCAAGGGGCTCTACACCCGCTCCGCGTTTCTTGACTCAATTGGTTCCTTCTCTGCGTTCGGAACAATTGGGTCTGAGGATGATTCTAAGCGCGAGATCGCAGCTTTCTTTGCCCACGTCAGTCACGAGACTGATCGTAAGATTTCAAAATCCTCTTGGGATTTGTTTTGGAAAAGAGTTCTATGCTTTTGGAGTTCGGAATCCAGTTAGAATGTTTCTTTGGAAAATCATTTTGGGGAAAATGCTAAAAAATTATTTTGTTCTTCTCAGAAATTACTTCTAAAAATTAAAAATAATATGAAAAAAAATTACGGTTTTTTAAAAAATACTTTTTCTATTTTCTATTTCAAAAAACACAAAAAATTTAACTTGAAAAATAAGAAACAAGATTCAAATCCAAACAACGTCGTTCATTGTGAGTTAAAAATGCGTGCGGTTGACTTGAAAGGTAGACTTCTTTTTGCACTTGCCGGGTCAAGAAGGAAAAGTTAAAAACGATTTTATTTTATATGACCCGCATGTAGCCCAATATAATAACGGAGAATTTAGTAAGGAATTACCCACATAATAACAAAAAAAAAAATTATCAAAAATTACTAGAGGATATGAGGGCTCCTTTGACCAGCTGTTTTAAAAGTATAAAGAAATAGTTTCAAAAATATTTAATTAACTTGTTTAAGACAAAACTTCCATCAAACAAAAATTTACTAATTATTATTGTTTAACCACATTGGTTTGACTCAAATTATACTCTTTTTATGAAATCATTTTCATAAAGGCCTAGGAAATAATTTTTATTTTTACATTTCCATGGGAGAATTATTTTTTTTGGAGTTTTTTTAAAACCAATCAAGTATAAGGTTGTCAATGGAGTGGATTTTAATTCGAATTTGATCCGAATTCGATTCGATTATTTAGGATCTTTAATAAAAAAAAATTCGATGGACATAATCTGATTAAAAAATCCATAATCCGAAATAAATGGAGCGAATATGGATTTCATCTGATCCGATCCGTTAAATATCCGAATCCGATTATATATATAATATAATATGTCATATATAAATACTATACTATATATATATAATATGTACATACTCAACTATTATTGTATTTATATGTGGATGAATTTTAGAAAAAGTAAATAAGGTACATTATAATTTAGTTTATAAAATTAAATAAATTTCGTTAGACAAAATATTTTAAATAGAAATAAATAATTTATATAATATAATTAATCTTAATATTTCGTTTCTTTTATTTTGTTCCAAAATTTTGTGATTGAATAACTCATTATTACTTTTAATTATTTGGATTTTTTAGTATTAATTTTTACGAAGTATATTAATTACATGCTTTATTTGTTAGATATTTCTTTTTTTGTTATTAAACTTTGTGTAGATAAATAGCATAATATTTAATATAATTTTTGTATTAAATTTACTTCAAAAATTTAATTTTTTTTAATTATACTAAAATCTTGGTTAATTAAAAAAAAGATTTTAAAATAACTTTACACTTTTCTATCATATATTATGAAAATAACTATTAAAATAATGAAAATTTTCAAATATAATAACCATTATATTTTTTTAAAATTTCTTATTTTAGTTTTAAAAATTTTTTATTCGGATTCGGATTATTTTTTCAGATATCAAATTTTTCTCGGATTCGGATACGGTAATAACTATTACAGATCCGATCGGATATCAGGTTGGATTTGGATATAAATATATTATTGGATTTGGATTCGGATCTACCTTAATTCGACCGAATCCGACCCATTGACAACCCTAATCAAGTGCAATTAATTATTCAACAACTCTATCTTGGCATAGGATTTTGCTACATAGAGGAGATAAATGGAGCCACAAAGGACTACTGTGACGAGACAAATACTCAATATCCCTGCGTTTCGAGCAAGAAATACTACGGGAGAGGCCCACTCCAGCTCTCCTGGAATTACAACTATGGGGCAGCTGGGGTTCGGGTCGGATTTGATGGCTGAACAACCCGGAAATTGTGGCCACAGATTCTGTTATATCCTTCAAGGCATCTATGTGGTTTTGGATGACCAATGTTCACACCATCATCACTTCTGCTCAGGTTTTGGGGCAACTATTCGAGCCGTTGGCGGGGATGTTGAGTGTGATGAAAAACAACCCTACTTGGCCAATGCCCGGATCCGCTACTACACTCGTTATTGCAACCAACTTGGTGTTGAACCCGGTACTAATCTCAATTGCAATTCAACAATCCCAGTAAGGTCTGTAAAAATTCTCGTATGTTCTTTGTATTGATGATGTTATGAATGCTTTTGTTTCTTCTTCTTGTTCTTAGGAGGCAAAAAAAAAAAAAAAAAAAAAGCCCAGAGAGAATGTTAGTTTATAAGAAGAGTCCACTTTTTCAAGAATTAGGCGCCATTTTGATTTATAACTAAAGAGTTCAGTGAGATTTTAGATGTTTTTAGAAGCTTGCAGATCTTTTGAAACTTTAAGGTCTCTCTTTTTTTTTTTTTTTTTTTTTTTTTTTTTTTTTTCCTTCCTATTATTTTGATAAGAGTATATAAATGATAAAAAGAAAAATGCCTTATTCTAACAAGGAGTTGAATATATTTTTTAATAAATGAAATGTGTAAAAAGTCAAATTTTCTTTTTATAATAAAAGAGTAATTTCCAAACAAATATCCATAAAACTAAACACCTTCTAACATTCTTTTTTGATATTCCCTTTTTGTTGTTGTTGAATGTTTTTTCTCATTCTAGTATTAGAATATCGCCCAGCAAGTCAATTACATTAGTACTAAACACGTGGTTTAAATATCGAACCAATTTTTAATAAGTCATGAAGTAGCTACAAATGTACTGAATTGGTCAAATTAAACTTACAAGTTACACATGTACTGAGTTTGAGTTGGTTAAATTAAACTGGCTTTAAACCAATTACTGCCCTCTTAACTAGCTGCTGATCTAGATCCAAGATCCGAATATGATTTTGAAGCCCAAATCCAAAACTTCTGACCCGGCCCAATATTGATCTAACCAATCGTCCCAAAACCAGAACCCTTGATTTTTACGCCCAAACCTATAAATGGCCTGACCAAATGGCCTACTGCCCAAACCTGTTCAAACCCAGCCCATGTTAGGTCCAGTCCAATTGGCCCAAGCCTATACTTTTTTTTTTTCTTTTCGTTATCAGTGGAATGTTTTCTCACTCCAGTACTAGAAAATTGTCTTGCAAGTTAATTAAATTTAAACTATTTTTTGTGATTTAGTACTATCCATTCAAACATTTTTTAAACACTTAGTATTATGACCATTTTCATTTTATATATAAATAAATTTTACTTTTAGTTGAAACATTTATTATCACACGTAATTACGGAATTAGGTCACACATAAGATGGTGCTTTTTGAAACATATGTCTCTGTAATCATAATTTAAAACTTATCCTGATTCCTAAAAT